TCTGCAAGCAAAAAATACATCCTAGATAAATCTACCCAGACTGCTCGATAATTCATTGGTATGAAAATCATGAATACTCACCTTAAAATGTTCTGTATTTCCATGTGATAAAGAGGATTTGGAAATAGAGCATTTATTATTTTTCTACTGGTCAGAATCAAAAGGCAGCACAGAGGACAACCCCATCAACAAAGACACTGGATAAAACCCTGCTGCCTTTATGGCAAACATTCATCTTGCATGTTGCCACTGAGGTGCAATGGAGTTTCAAGGTAAAACATAGTAGATATAATAATTTTTAGTGCATATAAAGTCTAACTGGATACAATGGGAGGAGGAACCATTGCTTTCACGTTCATAAGAGAATGACAAAGAAATAAAACACTTTATTCAATGCATTTAAACTTTTTCCTCTTACTTCGGGAATGGAAAGACCCAATTACATTGTGGTAAATACTTAAAAAGCCTATATAAAATTTTTGTTAAATTAAGGCAAATTCCATTCTATGTGGAGCCGTCATTCCTGAATCAAGATACAAAGGCCAGCTGGAAATCCCCATGTAAGCTACATGTTCCTTAAGAATATCCTTAAGCTTTACCCTAAAGCTAAAGACTACTCTAATAACTAATCAATGTGCTTTTAAGCCTAAAATCCTAAATGTTCAAAGAGGAACTCTGACGAACAGTGCAGAAACTTTGGTTTCCTGATGCCACCACATAAGCCTCATTTATTGTCATTTCTCTAGATGGCAGCATGAGTTATGTTTATAGCGTAGAAATATACCGTACACAAAGTATATCACACCAAAGGATCAGTTGTTTGGGTTTTTTTTCTTTTTATCTATCAATAATTCTATTTTTCTAAAATTTCTAGAATTTCTAGAAAATTTTCTAGAATTTCTAGAATTTTCTAGAGAATCCTAATTCTCTAGAGCTACAGTGAAGAATATTAACTTTAATCCACCCCATAAAATATTGCAGCATCATCCTACAAAAGATAGACGTGAATACTTTGGCTGTCTTAAATATTATTCATATTACTGTCACACAAGACTTTTTCACGTCAGCAAGGATGAAGTTTAAATAAGAAAATGTTCAGTACTACCCTTCATAAAGAGCAACAGGACAAATAGCTGCATCCCCAGTTTGAATGCATCAGGCTTACTGGTTCCAAACTGCAAGCACAACTGCTGCCTCATCATTCATGTACCATATATTGATGTCTAGTAAGAGTTAAAAGATTCTTATGAAATGCCTGAACAGAACCACAACAAGAAAATAACTGGAACAAAAAAGGAAACATTTTCCCCCATTAATATTTTCAGTATAAACTTAATGAGACAAAATTTGTGGTTCTCATCAAGAAACTAAAGGCTTTATCATTTTGCAAATTTGTGTTTGTAGACTGCTGGTGGAGTGGATTATCAGGCTACCTGCGCTCTCAGATACACAGATGCTGATCCAGGAACATTCATAGCAAAGGAAGAGAAAAAGAAAAGGAGAGGGAGGAAGAGGGCACAAATAGGAGGGGAATTCTGTAATTTGCACTATTTTTGTATTCTCAGCATTCTAGGGAAAACAACAAACCTGGCATAATGAGCTCTATAATGCATAACATATTTATCTAGCTTTGGCACTTATCTTTCTTTACCTTTGAAGTATTGAGAAATTGTCTGTGTAATTAGTTACCACACAGAAAACACTCCTGGCAGTGGTATGCACGGTGATTTTACCCTGGCACATTCCTGCCAGGGAGGAAACTCATGCTAGTTTGTGGGATGTGTGCATCTTTATGCATGTACAACATAACAAACACAAGATAACTTGAAATAAGAATATTTGCCACTGAGATTGTTAAAAAAGACCCCTTTTCTAAGGACTGATTGACAGTTCTTACTATTAAAATCTTATTAATCTAAATGATTACTTTATTGCCTTCTGCAAGAAGTAAGCACTTCAAATGCTGTGATTCTTTTTTCCAAGTTATAAAATAAGTATTAGTCATGACTTGTCATTCTTCATTTTTAAAAATAGGACTATTAATTCAGTTCTACTTTGAAAGATTAAAGCTTGTTCCTTAAATTATTTCATGGCATAACAGTAGGAATTGAGAGTGAATAGGCAAATAATCGATTGTATATGGCACACATATGGACATCACACTAATTCTAAACCAATGTTTCAGTTTTAAATAAGCTAGTTATCTCATTTACTTCAAGTTATTGACATAATCTATTATTATAAAACATGTCCTCCACTATTTTTGTTCAAGTGGCATTTAGACTCTTTCATTCCTGGCATCATGACAGGAAAGAAAAAGAATTCATGTGCAGATAAATTTTTATTGAAAATAAGTTTTTAGCATCTAAGCCACCACAGCATTATGGTAATCGTGTTCACGTCATGCATTACAGAATTACTTCATGCATAAAGAACTATTTTTGTGACATGGACATGCATTTTTATCCACAGACTTAGGGATCTTACTGTTTTCATGGATTTTCATATTTTCCATTACTTGTTTATTTTCATCCCATATATTTTGCCATGTTTTAAAAAAAACCCTAAAAATCTTTATTCAAGTAATTTTATTGGGACCACTACCTTAAGGCGTTACTACAAGAGAAATTTTGCTCCATACTCCAAATGATTTTTTCTTTCAAATTACTTTAGATTGACACATGTAATTTTCTGTGTTTTTTTTTTTTTTTCATTAATTCTATGTTCTGCTGATTTTTTTTCCCTTTGCTGTTCCTTTTTCACCTGTTTCATATGTAGATATAAATCAACAAGAAGAGGGACTTGGACACTCTTTTTTTCTTTTTCTATTTTTTTTTTTTAACAGAACTTGTAGAACTAGAATAAATCAAAATTGCAAAGATATAATATTATTAAATAATTGCTGAAAAACAATTTTAAGTATCAATTAATAGGTGTTAACGCCACATAAAATTTAGCTCTTGTAATGTTCTATCACATGGCATACTTGTAGCACCACTGCAACTATATAGGTTTTAAGTCCTATAAAGGTTAGTGGAGAAACCTAATAGAGGCAGTAATGGGTATACTTAGTCAACTTAAAACCAATGAAACTTTCAGTTCAACTGGAAAATGTGTGGTTATAAACAAATGGTATATATCTGGCTGTGTCATGCTGTGTAAAGAACACACAACATAGGAGAAACTGTCTCAGCAGCATCAAACAAGGTGCCAAAGAGCAACAAAAATACAAGTCAGCAACATATCTCAAATGTCTTTTCTCACAAGTGTCCAAAGGATTCCAAGGAAAGGCTAATAAATCTACTCATGTACACAATAGGAACATGTAGAATGAGGAGTAAAAACTTACTGTGATCCAAGGAAGCGTTCCAAACTGAGGTTCAAACCAATGAAAACCAAAAGACAGTTACTTTTAAAACCTAGGAATATGGAGTTGCTCCCGCCAAAGGTCATGGCAAGTTTCCATTGATATCAGTTTTGTAGGACTGATCTCTAATATTGCAGTTTAATGTGTAATCTATATTACTGTTATTTTTTGGCACACTTCAACTTGGAATGCGGTAGCGTGATATGAAAAGCGTGTTTTGTTTGCAAACTTGGAATGAAATCTGACTTGGACTAGATTGCACAATAAAGAAGCCAGCAAAAAGGAATTTGACACTCACCATTCTGGCAAAAAACTTTAAGTTTCTCAAAAGTAGAAGATAAAAAAAATATTTTGATACTATTATCTGAAATTAAAATTAAAAGGAAGAAAACATAAGTGTTCAACTGTGCCAGATACTGGGATCTTTGCTTAATGATCATTACCTTCCTCAGAATCATATGAGTCTTGCATCTAGAAACACTGCAGAATTAAAAGAAGTCTTACTGTCTAGGAAGCAGAAAAGCTATTAATCCTTTATACTAGTGTGGTCAATCTCAAACTATCTGTGACAAATCCTGTATTTCTTCTTCTTTCTGAGGTATTACTGAATTAATTGAGATTTCTCAATTCCTATTAAGCACAATGCTTAAACACATTCTCAACTCTCTACACATGAGAAAACCTAAATCCTTATCTAAATTTGATTTAAGTTAAGCATAAGTTCATGTCAGAACAAGCACTCTAGTGTTTTGTTGAACTAGGAACTTGACTTCTACAGATGGGAAGGAGCCCCTCTGACATCTTTTGTTCTCATAAGTGCTAAATCCTCAGTTTTATCAGGTTGCAGAGGTGTGCCTTCAGCTAAATAAGGTTAACAGTTATTTGAGAGCAAAAGATACCATTTTGTCAAGTCATTACTCAAGGATAGTACATGTGGAGAGGAAAATGGAAAGAAGCATAGTATGGATCAGACTCTTATCCGAATACTACAGAATAATATGATTAACATACTGCCATTATTATTACCATAATCATATTTAGAGAAGATTAAGAGGATCAAAAATCAAACTTCAATACTATATTTGTACTAAATTCAGCCAGATACTAATCCTAGCAAATATTTGTATTAACAATTAACTTTGTGCTATGGGAGCTAATACACTACACATGAATTCTGAAATACAACTCTGGGTTTGGAAATACTTGTTAACTAAATTAAGTGCTATGGACACTACTGTTCTGTTCAGCCTACTTCAGCAACATCTCTTAGTCATGACTTGGCAATTCAACAATCCTGAAGTCTTTGATCTGCTTCCTGACCCATCAAAGAACATCAGTCAAAACTAAGTGGGAGAAAAGCTGTTTTAACGCAGTGGACGTTCTTTCAAACCAGACTGAGAGGAAGTCATCCTCTCCATTTGTGAAGACTTTTGGTTGCCACCGATGAAAGAAAGAGCAAATTCAGTGGATCCACCACATGCTAATAATAGTTTTGTGCAGTTATTCCACTGTAAATTAGTTATTCCCTGACAGTGTCATAAAAAAGAGTCAGTGCTGGTGAATAAGGAAACATTTTCTCCTGGTAACAGACACTAGCAATTAGCTACAAAATTAAAAAAAATAAAGTCTTTACCCTAATAAAGAGGATCTTCTCTCCCACTCTGTATCTTCCTTGTGAAAGACGCTCCACACAGAACTTATTAGGGCATTTGCAAGGTGGATCTTCAGAAATGTGTTTAACCTGAAAACCAGGCAAGCCATTAATAGAATCTGTTTAACATAGCACGTGTAGCAAAACATTCAAGAAGCTATTTGCCATAACATAATATCACTAGCCAAGCCTTCACTTATGATATTTTCTTAGTTTTTTCCTTATTTTCTTCATATTTCTGTAATCTCAGACTATGGTGCTTCCAATATCAAGAACAATTTTACAGCTGTCACAAGGTAAAAGTAGAGACAAGCATCACAAACTTCAACATAAAATTTGCACCATTTAACTGCAGTCCAGCGATGTGTTAATTTGAATTCAGCATCAAACTTTTGTAGATGTGTTCTCAGTATTTTATGGTGAATCAGCTGAACTGTCAAAGCACTAACATAGCTGACAGGCAAAATGAAGTTATCATAAAGGTAAATTCTCCCTTCTAAATAAATATAATAAATACAAAAGCACCTTGCTTATTGATGAAAGGCCCTGCCTGATACCTTCAATTGGCATTTTCTCACAGTGCACTAACACCTTAAAAAAGTACACAGTGAATATTGTGACATAATCACAAATCTATGCCAAGATGTTCCCCAATATTGCTAACTTAGATGATCTCACCTGAGGGCATTAGTGCAGTCAAAGGTAATTTAAAGCGGCCTCAAGAGCACTCTGCTTTATCATTGCCAAGAATGAGGGCTGAGAAAATACAGATGAAAACTGCTTTCCTGCTCTTTATCAGCTGCATCAGCTTGACTTCAGCCTCCTGTGAAAACTTGGCCTTGCACGTGCTACCAAAGGCATTCATGTTTAGTAAAAGCATATTTTGTACTCTTCAGTGATCTGAAAGTAGCACGGCAATCAATGCCAAAAGAGCAGATCTGGCTGAGAAACTCTTATTTGACATTCACATCGTTCTGCTGTGTAGGAACAGCAGTAACAAGTGTGGCATTTCCATACACTGGTGTTTTCTCTGATGAAAGCTGACCTAGTGTGTCAAACAATGCAAAAATGCCAAGGGAGCTTATCAGAGATTTTGCCCACTTCAAATAATATCCCAAAAACCTTTTTAAATCCAGGTTGCAACACAAGGCCTGTAAAAATGGTCTGAGGTACAAAAACAGTATTTTCAGAATAGCTAATGTATTAAATTCTTAAACAGTTTCAGAAAAAAAAAAAATCAGGGCAAAGCTATGGCACTCTGATAGGTGTCTTAGTTATCTTTAACAAATGAACAGAATAGGCTTCTGAAATACAACAAATGTTTTTCTGCTTTGACATTAGAGTATGTTAAATAAACCTGGGAGAAATTAAAAATTAAGCAATTATTTTTTCTATACTAGAATAATGAGCAAAAATGCTTTTGAAACTAGCCCTGTTAAGCCACTTGGGCTCAGCAGCCCAAATTGGGCATTCCAATTAGTTCTGAAATTGTTCAGTGTAGTTATCTGAATAACTTTATTACTTTGTGGAATATTTTTTTATATTATTCTTAGCTTTTTTTTTTTTTTTTATCAGGACCTGATATTTTTGTGAAAAAAATCATTTTGAAGTAACACTTAGCAGAGGAACTCTATACACAAAAAGCACTCCTCAAGTATCAGATAAATTGTCCTCAGTTTGAATGTATAATCACTGAATTGCTTTAAGATTAATTACTCCAGTGATTTTTATCAATATAGCTGAGTGTTGAGCTTCCATTTCTGGAGAAGCAAACTATTTAAATAGTCAGTGCACAATAGGAATATGAAATCAGTGGCTGATGACTTAAACTCAAGCACAGATTGCTGAGGATGCAGAAGGTGCATTCCTGGATCTTTTGGAGCATGGGACCAAGACTGGGATTGTGCGTAGGGGACTATTTGGCAATGGCCCTCTGAATGCTGCCCCCTGATCTGTGGCTTCTGATAGAATATCCGATGGCATTTATCACTTCTGGAGACACTCCTGAAATTTAAAGCTGTTAATGGGTAGTGTGAACTATGTCTTAAAAGCTGCATCTACCAGGGTTCGTGTAAGCAAGCAAAAACCCAGAGAATTTGGACTTAACATGTTCAGGTTGTTTGCAACTGTCTAAGCAAAATAGAGCCATCTTTGGCCTGTGGAGAATGAAAGCCAACAGCTTTATACTGGTGTAAAACAGGGAATAATGAGACTTCACTGCTGATCTTGCTATTGAGGCTTCCAATATCTTACTGTCCCAAAGGATACAGAAGTACTATCGAGTGGAATTTGGAAATCAAATAAGGAAGCAGAGGGAAGAATTCTATCCTATTTTATTTTGTGTCTGGACTATATGAGCACTGCTGCTGTTTTATGGTGTGAGTGTCTGGGGCAGTGTGGGTCAAGAATCTAAGCTGGACGAATTCCATTCTGTTTCTATCCCTACTGTTTTCCAAATTAAAGGAGGTGGTTGGAGACAACCTTCATACTCTCTCTTCTGTTCCTACAAGATACACAGTCACCACTCTCCCTCTTCCTGAATTCTGTTGAAACATAAGTGAGTGCTTTTGCAAAGTTAAGGAAGAAATTAAAAAAAAAAAAAAAAAGGTAAATGTAATTACTTGCATCGAATAGTACAAAGTAATTCAATAAAATAAATGAACATTATGTTCCATCTGCTCTTTGTAACAAAAAAGTGGCACATGGATTTTTCAAGAAGTGCTTTGTAACTCCCAGGTGGCACATCTACCTTGTAATATAGCAGTTACTATAGTAACTGCTTCTTTTTATAGAATAGATTTGTACTTTTCAAGTTTAACCTCTTCATGGTCTCAAAATGTGTCCTTTTCATCTGATTCCAGCTGTTTCAGATGAACTGCTCTAGGGTTTGCAACAGAGAAACAAACACTACGCTATAGTGCAAAGAGTTTAATTAAATTCAAAGCAAGATGCTTTCTTACTAACAAGAAGGAAAAGAATACTTGTTTTTGCCACATGAGAACCATGCAGAACAGCAGCACAAAAAAATTAGGCTGAGACAACTTAAAAGAGTTTGTTAACATTCTGTGCAAGTCAGACTCTTAGTCCTGACTCAGTCCTTTCTCAGACAAAACACCAAGTGGGAGTTGATGAATAAGAAGTGATCAGAAAAAGAAAATGGAGTAATAAGAAGGGAACTTGGCCCTCAGCACAAAGCTACACTGAACTGCAGCTCTCCTACACGGGGCAACATTTTTTCCCAAATTTCAGGCATAAATAATTGTGGTCAAAAATAAATTAACTCTGTAAGTCTGCAAATCTTTAAAATACAGTGAGAAGTTAAACTCAGGCTTCTGTGTGCTTTGCAAGTAAGTGCATACCAGAATGGGTCAGATAGGAAAAAGCTTCTTCCTCCCACAACTTACAGCATCATCCAACAGTTTCCCTGTGCTCTTTTTCCCAGGAGACTTTGTTGGTGATGGTGAAGGAGATGGAAGTGGGGCTGAAAGTGTTTCCTCTTGTTCAATCTCTTTTTCCAGCTTTATTAATCCAGGAGGCTCCACCCCAAACCTTTTGGAAACATGCAGACAAATTACTAGTCCTTATACAGTATTTACATATCTTAAAACAAAATGATGGACAGAATATATCTTTTCTGTATTGCACTATTGTGCACTAAGAGAATGCTACATACATTAGTAAACATGTATAAAATATATCATTACTGTCATCATTCCCAACTACAACAGGAATTTAATTTACATGGAATCTCTCAGTTGATCAGGTTTACAGGAAATACAGGGCTTTTTTTTCAAATTCTCTGACTAATGACTTATGTGTTAGTGATTTTATGGGCTAATTTATGAACAACACTAAGCCTCAAAAATTGATATATGATGTAGGACAGATTCAAGTTCAGTACATCAGCTTTTTTTTTTAATTCCCCCCCCAAAACAACATCTTTTCAACTTGACAACTTATATTTCATGTTAGTATTTTTCAAAGAAATTCAGATATAAACGAATTAAAGGTTACCCTGGTCTCAACAATGACACTGAATTTACAGAAAAATAAATGGAGATATGGCCAATATGTTTTATAGGCAGATAATGCTTTTTCTAACCAGTTTTTGACAGTTGATCTTCAGATCTCTGTTTACAGTGGCAAAACACTTGTAGCTCCAACTAAAATAAAGCACACGCAACTTTGGCATGGAGCATCTCAAACACAGCACTTGGAGAGCATGGCTCTTTAAAACAATGCCTGCTTTTGAAAGCTTTATGGCAAGTGATTAAGCCAGTATCTCACAGCAAGCAGCAGCGTTTGGACATATGTCAGTCTAAATAAGCCCATCCCATTTTCCTGATCACTGATTATTCCCCTGTTTGTTGGTTTTTGTTTGTTTGTTTGTTTTTCTTTGCCAATATGGAACAAACCCCAGAAAAACAGAAAGATTTCCTTTTTCAGAGGGGTCCAGCTTGGACAAGTTATTATACTAGGTAAGGCTTCCTATAGTCAACTGCTTGCATAAATGAAACCATATTTTCTTCTGTAGTAGAAAAAAACCATAGCCCAGATGCAGAACTATGCAGACTCCAGGTAAAGATCTGGACACTCAAATATTAATCAGTAACAAATACATTATGAAAATCTAAGCTAAATATCATAATGATGTTAAGAGTGTACAGAGAAAGGACATAAAATCATATACTCTCTTTTGTGTTTTTCTGAGAACTATTAATTTAGTCACACTGCTGCCTAGTAAATTAATATAAAGAAAACCAAGAACCAAATGTGTGCTTGTATTGGCGTCTAAGTGGTGCAGTCTGCCTAATGAAAAGCCAGCCAACACTGAAGCAAGCACTTACATACAATCCATTTGCTTCCTGTCTGTCTGCAGATGCCGACAGGCTGTAAATCATTCAATCCCCATTGGGCTCTAAGCCTACACCTGCATGCAGCCTTACTCATCAAATAAAACTCTTCCACCCCGAGCAATGCTGCTGCTTTGCTTCTACTGCTTTTCATAAGCTCCAGTTTTTGCCATTGTGACAGACTCTTAAAAGTTCCCTGTAATTCCAGTATTCTGAATTCTTCCACTGACGAGTTGAAAAAATAAAACTAATGAACAAACATACCCATATTTTTTTAAACACATTCTATCAACCTGAAGCAAAGTTGCTGGAAAGCTGAACTGGTAAAAACCACATCTTCTCTGGGAGGGGCAGAGGTGCAAATTGTGTTCTGGAAGGTATGCTGAGAATTTCCTTTCCTGCTCTTTTCTATCCTTCCTTCTCATAACGCAGATGAGGCAGCACTGGCCTGTAACATGATCCCCAATAGGCTTGTTGGAGCACCACTTCCCAATTTTAGCAAGGAAAAACTGAATGAAGTAGCAGAAAGATCTTGAAATTGCTCAACAGCAATTTCAAAACTTCAGGGGTGTGGGGGGTTGTTTATTTAACCCCCCAGAGTTTGATGGTTACCCACAAATGTAATTCTTTCTACAGAAAAAAAAGAGTTCAGCTGTTCTCTATTGTATAATCTCTGACTTTAAAATACTTTGGGAGAACGTTGGACATGAGGAAGCCAGTGCAAGACTCTGTAGTGTCAATGCCCAATTTCATCCTGTAAGACACTTCATAAATATTCCCACTCAACCAGCGTAACTGCTGACTTAGGGGAGTTACAGGCTCTGCACACTCACAGCAATCTAGCTGGGCAAAGTGTGCTAAGGCTCCTTGTGACAAATAAGCCACTTAGAAGCAGAAAGACATGTTCAAAAACAGAAAAGGGAAAGTAAGAAGTTATTAGGTGTCTCTTACTCTTCTTATTTTTTAAAAACATCCTGAGGCACCTTTCCAAAGGTCTCTACAGCTCCTGTTCTCAAAAGCAGACCCCTAAGACTGTCAACAGACCTAGTTTGCTTCACCAAGCAAGCTTACAACTCACTTCTCTCCTGTTTAAAGCAACAAACTATGCCAATTTAATAAGCTTCTTCCTGTGCTTAGTGGAGGCAACTATCTATTCTCCTTTTCCATATAGTTCAGGTTTACCATAGCTCAAGCAAAACTGGCATCACAGATTTGCTTTTCCATTATATTAAGCTGATGTTCCCCTTCAACAGTTTTTCTGCACTTTGAAAACGTACAAGATCCTAAACATGGGTTGTTTTTTCCAAGAGATATTAGAGCAGTAACAAGTAGACAGACATATGTTATTTTACCTCTAAGCTATAAATGAAAAATACAGTAACACAACAATAATATATAAAATTATTGTATGTAAAATTATATACATGTATCATAAATTTTAAAAAATGAAATATTTTGTATGTAAAGGGACTGATATGCATAATAAATTAAAACATGGTTCAATTATTGACTCAGTATTTGTCTTCAGGCCTGCAACTGAACATTTGAGACATGGTAGCTGAAGTAAAAAAACAAATATGAAGAGCAAGATCCTATCTTGATTCCTTTCTAGATCTTTTGAGAAATCAAATCTCATTGCAAAATAAGATTCTTCAAACTCAGCCAACTTGAGCAGAATCCAAGACTGCCTAACAAAATGTTCTGGATTCCCTGAGGAAGCTGAATACTATCAAGTAACCAACCAAGCTACACCCTGGGTATTAGGTCTTTGGATGCTGGAAGGTCTATCTCCAAGCTGGGGATCTTGCAAGCACAGTTTGTTTGCTCATGTTTTTAATTAAGATTTGTGAAAATCAATTTCATTAAGAACGATAGATCAGAATACCTTCTTATTCATGAGAAGTTTTTGTTTTGGTTTGGGGTTTTTGGTCACGTTAGGCCAAATCCAAGTTTAGAGGTAAAAAAATTCCTGCAAATTGGAAATCAGCTTTTTCTGGCCAATGTTATTCCTATACAAGCTTCCACCAACAGTGAGGACTTCTCTGAAACTTGACCCAGAGATTAATTTCTTCTTAAGCAGCTTCCCAACTTGTTGCATTCACAAAATATGAACAACCATAGTGCAACCATAACACAAAAATACCAGTTCTTAAGCTCACAATAAATAGAGATCTCCTTTGAATTGCTTGTAACCACAAGGAATTATTCTAAAATAAATAAACTACCTGAACAGCAAAGCACTCCTATGTGATACACATGGATGACTGTAACTACGATTTACATGCCAGAGTGGGCAGTAGCACCTCTGTTCATATATTTTTTAGCAAATCTTATGCACTATCGTAGTTTAAAAAATACAAAAATTTTATGCACTATGCTGCAAAAAGGTAAAAAATCACATTCTAACTACTGTCACTCTGATTGTCTAGCAAAAGTCACTGTTGTCTTGACCTGAAAGATAATTCTGCAGTGCATTGAAGGTCAAGCCTGGCTAGAATCATCTGACAGACAGAACACAGACTGTTCACTCAATTCTCATGTTGCTTCTGTTGTTCAAAGTCAGAGCTAAGTTTATTTAAATAAATAAGATTCAGTGTTGCTTAGGTCAAATTTAGGTCTTTTGAAGGTAAATTTATTATCAGTAAAGTTAATGAAATCTGTTGTTTATAGAGAGATCTGACTGTTAGAAGGAGAAACAGCTCAAAGCTTTATTTAGAAAAAAAATTCTTAACTCTTTCC